CTGGGCCAGAGGAGCCGGGAGTGTGCTGTGGATTTATCATGATTTCCTCCTGGGAAGGACCAGAGGGCTCTCCCTTCACCAAGGCTGTGGCCAGTGGCATTTCACAAAGTGGCCACAGCAACATTTCCAGGACCACGGGCTCCTCCATCTGCTGGCCCTGCCCCCATGCACGCATGAGGTTCACTTACTTCCCTAGATCCCAGGGCCTGAGTGACCACCTCCAAGGAGACAGGGTCACAGAGGGGCTGCGGCTGAGTCTCGGACAGCATGCCCTAAGGAGACAGGGCTTCTCCTGGGAGTCAGGCCAAGGCACTAAGCAGCAGTCCACTTATGTGAAGGGGAAGTGCTGCAGAGTCCCTGCAGAGAGGCCCTTGGAGACAAAGAAGACCACGGGTGCCCGCCCAACCCAGGCAGCAGACTCCAAGTGAAGCCTTCCATCCCCTCGTTGATAAGAGTGGAGCAGAAAGGAGTACCCACCACCCACAGAGCCCTGCACTGCCTGCAGCCTGCAAACTCACCACCGAAATCAGTGGAGTAGCTCTGGAAGCCTCTCCCTGTGTGGTGGCCCACTGCACACCCATGAACCACTTGACCAGGATTTGGGACCTAGAAATGGGTGCTGCTCAGAGAAACTCCAAACTGTGGAAAGTGGCCTGACGACTTGATGGCAACGGAGGCAGAGGGACCAAGAGGGGAATTTTGGAGGATGTGGTGCAGCTCTGGGGACACCCAAGGCCAAAGTATGCTGCAAACACCAGTGGATGCGAGGGCTGGCTCCGCTCCTACATCTGAGATCACCTCCTGGAAGGTTCGCTTTCTACAGTGTTGGACCCTACTTCCAGCCCACCTGAAGGGGCCACAGACAAGCCCCTGTCCACCAACTACTTGGAAGGAGCCACACCAGGCACCCCACCAGTCACCTTCCTAGCTGTTGTGGGGTGGATGCCATGTTGTGCCCCAGGGATCCCTAATCCAAGGCCTAATGTGGAAGATACAGTAGGGCCCAGGAGTGCACACAGAGCCAGGGGTGAGCCACGGCACTTGAAGACACGAGACACTGAGGGTCCACGTCTCCCATACACACACACTCAGCTGGGTCTCGGCTCACACATAGGAGGACAAGGACTGAATGCTGTATCTCAGATGGAGGAAGAGTTTTGGGTCCGAGTGACCACTGTGAACTCTGTCCATGCACATCAGACTTCTGTCTGTCCCCCAGAGGACAGCTATGGCCAGGAGAATAGCTTCCCTCTGACACTGGGTGTTGCACCATCCTTCTGTCAGAGATCTGGCCCCGGATGGAGCCCGAGAGGGAAGGAGGGAAGAGCCAGGGACCCAGAGGAAGACGGCTTTCTACTCTGGGAACCGTCCTGGTGGGTGGACAGGATGAGGCCCTGGGCTGTGCTGTGGGGTGTGAGCAGAACAGCCTGTGTCCACACTGCATGCTGACCCAGGCAGGGAGACATGCCCTCCAGGATGGGGGGACCAGAGGGCTCAGGTGAGAGGCCCGGGTACCCTGCTCTGTGGTGGATCAAGAGCCATAATCCGTGTGGGAGGCAGAGAGCAAAGAACAGCACATGAGGCCAGGCTTCCGGCACTCTCCCCTGGGTCCCAGGCACCCACCTCACCCCACTCCCACACACCCATGTGAGGCAGCCCCCGCAATGTCTGGACTCCCCCCAGGCCCTCTGGGACACAAACCACCTAGAAGAAAAGGGAACTTCAGGAAGCAAGCAGTGACCTCTGGTTTCAGTCCCGTTCTTAGTCTTTGCAGGGCTGTCGGGAGGCGTTCACACCTCCGGGAACCGGCTATGAACTCCAAGGAGCCAGGCAGTGGACATGGAGCACGAGCCACGAAGAACCACATGTGCCTGGGGCCAGAGCACATAGGAGGCGGGGGCTCCTTGGAGACCCAGGCTGGGCTGAGGCAGAGCCATACTCAGGACCCCCATCCTCGGTGAGTAGGGTCCCACGGAGGAGGGGGAGGGAGTGGAGTGGGGACAGTGGAACCAGCCACAGGAGCGGAGGGGAGACCAGGACCTCAGGGATGTCACAGAGGGGCTCGAGCAGCTGAGCCAGCACAGGGGAAGGCAGGCTGCCCGCAGATTACAGCGCGGACCCAGAGCCCACACCAGGGAGCCATGGGCAGGCACATGCCCAAGCCAACAGAGCTGGACACACTGGAGGCCGAAGGAGGTCAATCTTGAGGAATGTGATGGGCTGGGAGGCCAGAAACCTGAGGGCTGGCTTGGCCAGCTGTGCTGAGCGCAGGGCTGGGCTGGATCTGAGCTTCTGCAAGACAGAAGCCAGGATGGATAGCTAGGTTTGATCCCAGGCACAGGTAGGGGGCTGCCTCAGAGAAAGGGAAGAAGAGGACCCCACGTGGCCTAAGGGTCCCGTCCAGGCCAATGGAGCTGATTCAAGCCCCAGGGCAGGGTCAGAGGTGGCGGCCATGGGTCCTGGGCTATGGCCAGAGCTGAGGGCAGCAGGTGAGCCAGGAGCAGAGCAGGAGGAGCCAGCGTGTGCTCCTGTGTGCTCAGAACTCAGACAGCACAGGGCTGAGCAAGAGCTCAGTGGGCTATGGGAGCGGCGTCAGGAGCTAGTCAGTGAGGGTCAGGAGCAGGAGGCAGGGCTCCAGGGGCTGCGAGCTAGTGGGCACAGGGCAGCTGACCCAGCAACTAGAAGGAGCAAAGTCCCAAGGGGCTTCCAGAAAGGGCTTCTGAGGGTGGCAAGGGCCGAGGAGAGGGTGAGGCCCAGCTGGGGGCAGGAGCTCCTCCAGGAGGGGACCAGGGTAGGGGCTCTGCCAGGGGAGAGCTGACCAGAGAGAGGGTGGGCACCTAGTGACTCCAAGAGGCAAAGCCCAGTGCTGGGAAATGAATGAGTCCAGGAAGAGAGTGAACCTGGGCTGAGGGTGCTGGGACAGGCGGGAGGGGCAGAGGCAGCCCTGGGGAGACCCAGCACTCCTGGGCTGAGCTCACGGATGTGTGGGAGAGTCGATCACAGGGCAGGAGGGGCAGGGAGCTGCTGCAGACTAGGTGCTCCAGGGACGAAGGGCAGAGAAGCTACAGGGGACAACGGGCAGGTAGGAAGGCATAAGAGGGCAGAACCTGCCCCAGGAGCTCCAGAGGGGTGGCAGAGTGGCTATAGGAGAGCAGGGGACTGGGAGGGCTGGTGGGGCAGGGGGCTGTCCAGGAGCTCCAGGGGAGCAGGTGGAGCTTAGCGGGTGAGCAGGGGCAGGTGAGAGGGCAGGAGGGGCAGGGAGCTGTCCAGGAGCTCTGGGGGAGCAGACAGAGCTTAGCAAGTGAGCAGGGACTGTGTGGTCGGAGGTACAGGGGGCTGCCCAGGAGCTGTGGAGGAGCAGGCAGAGCCTAGCAGGTGAGCAGGGAGCTGGGAGGGCAGGAGAGGCAGGGGGCTGCCCAGGAGCCCTTGAGGAGCAGGCAGAGCTTAGCAGGTTAGCAGGGGGAGGAGAGGTCAGGAGGGGCAGGGTGTTGTCCAGGAGCTCTGGGGAGGCAGACAGAATTTAGCGGACGAGGAAGGAGCTGAGAAGGCAGGCCAGACAGGGGGCTGCCCAGGAGCTCTGGAGGTCAGGCAGAGCTTAGCAGGTTAGCAGGGAGCTGGGAAGGCCGGCGAGACAGGGGGCTGCCCAGGAGCTGTGGAGGAGCAGGTAGAGCTTAGCAGGCGAGCGGGGGGCGGGGAGGGCAGGAGGGACACGTGGCTGCCCAGGAGCTCCGGGGGGGCAGGCAGAGCTTAGCTGGTGAGCAGGCAGCTGGGAGGGCATGAGGGAGAGGGGGCTGCCCAGGAGCTCCAGGATAGCAGGCAGAGCTTGGCCGGTGAGCAGGGGCAGGTGGGAGGGCAGGAGGGACAGGGCGCTGCCCAGGAGCTCAGGGGACAAGAATCAGTGGGCCTTAGATAAACGGCGCCCAGGACAGGCAGAGCTGAGCAGGTACCGGGAGCAGGGACAGCTGGGGCTCAGGGGGCTCAGGTGTCCTCCCTGTGCAGGGAGGAGAGTGAGCTGGTGGAGGGACTGTGTGGGATGGTTAGTTGGGAGGGAGGGGGACCCTGGGATAAAGGTCTCTGGGGCTGAACGGTCACAAGGGCACCCCTAAGGGGATCAGATGTGATGTTATTCTTGGGTTCCAGGGCACCAACCCTGTTCTGGGGGCTTGTGGGGACAGGGGAGAGTAGGGGTAGACATGCAGAAGCAGTGTGGGGTGGCACAGGACATTGAACCTGGCGAGGGAAGAGCGAGGAGCCCATTTAGGGCCTGATCCTTGGCTGCCAGCCTGGGAAGAGGTTGGCAGGGCCCTGAGGCTGAGCACACAGGAGTCACGGTCACAGGGGACAGGCCTGGCCCGAGTGTGTGGGTAGAGGGTGCACCCTGGCCCGCACTGGGGCCTGGAGATGGTGGTACCGAGGGGAGAGGAGGGCTGAGGGCAGTGCACGGCTCCCACCTGAGCTGAGGAGCAGGCTGGCTCGGGAAGGACCACGGCTGGAGGGAGGCTCTGGAGTGAGCAAGGAGCTGGACAGGCCCAAGAGCAGGGATGGTGGCGGGTGGGGGGTTCTGGGAGGGAGGGGCCAGAGGTGAGCTCAGGAAGCCATGCCAGGAGGACCTGAGGAGGGACGGTGGGCCCAGAGGCAGATTTAGGAGCCTGGGCTGGGGGGCCACTTGGACGGGAGGGGAGGAGGAGAAGGAGACTCCCAGGGACGGGGTCCAGGACAGGGATGGGGTCCAAGGAAGGGAGAGGGTCCAGGGCTGGGTGAGGGTCCAGGGAAGAGATGGGTCCAGGGCAGGGACGGGGTCCACACAGGTTGGGTACATGGGTCCGTGGTGACTTGGCAGAGCTGACTCAGAAGAGACGGGGCCTGGTGAGCAGAGACAGGCCATGACAAGGTCTCTTAGAGGCTGATGACCCGGGAGCAGACACAGGCAGTGGGGGGCACAGACCCACCACACCCGAAGAGATGCCCATTCACCCCGGGCAGGGCCAGGCTTGGTCGATATGGCAGAGGGCTTGGGGGACCAGCAGAAGCCAGACAGGAGCAGGAGTCTCCAGTCAGGGCTAGACAGAGGGCATGGTCAGGAAGGGCACCCACAGGAGGCTTAAGGAGGGACGGGGGCAGAGGCCCGGGGGGGTCTCTAATCCAGCTGGTCACCCAGCACTGACCTAGTGACCGATCCAGAGTCTGTGGCTACAGAGGCACCAGCCCTGGGGCACAGGGAGCCACCTGGGGCATCTAGTCTGCAGGATCTCTGGAAGCGCATGGCACTGGGCTCAGCGTTGCCCCAGGCCTGGGCACCTGACGCTCTGCCATGACCCTCTGAGGGTGAGGCCCTTGTGGTCACACAGCCTCCTCTCTTGCAGCCTCAACCACAGCCCCAAAGGTCTTCCCTCTGGCCCCCGGCTGTGGGACAACATCTGACTCCACGGTGGCCCTGGGCTGCCTGGTCTCTGGCTACTTCCCAGAGCCGGTGACTGTGTCCTGGAACTCAGGCGCCCTGACCAGCGGCGTGCACACCTTCCCATCCATCCTGCAGTCCTCGGGGCTCTACTCCCTCAGCAGCATGGTGACGGTTCCTGCCAGCAGCTGGCCGAGCAAGACCTACACCTGCAACGTAGCCCACCAGGCCAGCAGCACCAAGGTGGACAAGAAAGTCGGTGAGAGGAGGGGCTGCACGGGGGGCGTTCCCTGCGAGACAGGCCCAGGGTCAGCCCTCCTGCCTGGACCCCAGGGCAGCAGGGGAGGCCTCCCAAGCTCGGAGAGGGGTCCTCTGTGGGTTTCAGCCATGCCCAGGGTGGGGGCAGGCTGGACACCCCTAAAACAGCGCCTGGGCCCACACAGGTGAGCGCTGGGCCCAGACCTGCCAAAACCTGGCCCTGACCTCAGTTCACCCGAAGGCCATCTCCCTCCAGCCCCGGTAACCCCTAGTCTGCTCTTTCTGCAGAGCCCAGACCAAATGGAAAGCCTGACTGCCCTGAGTGTCCCAAATGCCCAGGTGAGTCAGCCCAGACTCGCCCTCCACCCCCGGGAGGAGGCCCGAGGACAGGTGTGGCCCAAGGGGGTAAAGTCCCCAAGAGGAGGCCAGTCCAGGTGCTGACCACTCCCCCATGTCTCCCCCGTAGCTCCTGAACTCCCCGGAGGGCCTTCGGTCTTCATCTTCCCCCCAAAACCCAAAGACACCCTCACGATCTCCGAAACGCCCGAGGTCACGTGCGTGGTGGTGGACGTGAGCCAGGACAACCCCGATGTCCAGTTCACCTGGTACGTGGACAATGAAGAGGTAAACACGGCCAAGTCAAAGCCGAAGGAGGAGCAGTTCAACAGCACCTACCGCGTGGTCAGCGTCCTCCCCGTCCAGCACCAGGACTGGCTCAAGGGAAGGGAGTTCAAGTGTAAGGTCAACAACGGAGCCCTCCCGGCCCCCATTGAGAAGACCATCTCCAAGGCCAAAGGTAGAAGCAGGACAGATGGGGAGGGGGAGGGTCCTGGGGGTAACCCCAGGGAGTAACCACCTGTACTGACCCCTGTTCCCACAGGGCAGGCCAAGGAGCCACAGGTGTATGTCCTGCCCCCAAGCCATGTTGAGCTATCCAGAAACAAGGTCAGCGTGACCTGCCTGGTCAAAGACTTCTACCCACCTGACATCAACATCGAGTGGCAGAGCAACGGGCGGCCAGAGTTGCCGGAGAAGTACAGCACCACCCCGCCCCAGCTGGACGGTGACGGGTCCTACTTCCTGTACAGCAAGCTCTCGGTGGAGACGAACAGGTGGAATCAGGGAGTGAGGTTCGCGTGTGAGGTGATGCACGAGGCTCTCCACAATCACTACACCCAGATATCCATCACCAAGTCTCCGGGTAAATGAGCCACACGCCCGGCGCACCTGAGAGCCCTCCCTCCCTCCCTACAGGCTCTCAGGGTCCCATGAGGAGCCCTCACCCCTCTGTACATAAGCCCCAGGCACCAGCATGAAATAAAGCACCCAGCATGGCCCTGGGACCCTGCAACGCTGTCATGGTTCTTTCTGAGGCAGAGCTCAGGTGCACTGCAGGCGGCACGGCAGCCAAGCTCTGAGAACACAGTTGTCACCATTAGGGGAGAGAGATGGTCCCACTGAGGCAGAACCCAGAGCTCTGGGCTGCGCAGGCCACCCAGGATGGCTGGAGGGGCTGCCCGAGGAGGGGAAGGGGTTTCACCAGAGGTGGCAGCTCCTCGGGACCTCCCTCCAGCAGCAGCTGCTCAGGGCTGGAGTGTGGCCAGGGAACAGGAGAAGCCCCTCGGAGCCCCTCAGGGAAATGCGTGCACAGGCTGTCCCTCCTCTGTAGGAGCCAAAGCTGTGGGACAGTGGCCCGTCCTTGTCCCCCGGGGTTCCCTGTCCACTGGGACACTTGAGAGGTCCGCCTGGTGGCTCTGGCCCTCACGGGACACTTCCCTGGCCCATGGTGTGGGGACAGGCTCTCCTTTGCCCTCGGGCACACTGATATCAGGCCACCACCCTCCCTCAGGTGAGGTGGAGCTTCTGGCCTTGTCCTGCCTGGGGCCAAGACTTTCCACTTGTGGGGACACTCACTCCCAGGCCCCAAAGGGGCAGAGGCAGGTGGCCCTGAGTTCCCAGGGCAGGGACCATCCAGGACTCCCATGTGGACACTGAGCCCACACCCACTGAAAACAAGTCCTCTCACTGAGCAGCGCCAGCCAACACACCACCTCCACGCACACGCACATGAGCACACGCACACACCCTCACACATGCAGGCCTTACACATGGCGGCTCACAAAAGGGCAGCCTGCACATTCCCAACAGAGCCTGGAGCCCAGTCTCCTGACCCCTCACCATAAACATCAGAGGGTCTGCACAGCCTCCAACGCCCCGTGGGCTGCTCAGGCCTCGTCCTCACACTGACCACACTGACCAGCTCTGACAATCAGCCCTCCTCTTCCCCGGGGCTCATACACCCCCACCCTGACACACAGAAATCCCCCCACACCCAGCTTGTGCCCAGCACTCCCACCACTCATGCACTGGGGACACATCAAACCCTATCTTGGCCCTTCCCTGGGGCAGGGTCCCCACTGTGGACAGGCTCTGCTGACCCTCCGCCCTCTGGGCCTGGTCCCCGGGAGAGACGAGGTGGGGCCTGAGCCTCCTTGGGTCAGGGAACCTTCTCCCCAGAGGGCCCCAAGCACAGGGCAGCACAGGAGACAGGGCTGTCACCCACTAGCCAGGCTGAGAGCTGGGTCAGGGGGATCAGCCGAGTCCTGGGGTCCCAGTTGGAGGAATGGGGGAGATGAGACCAGTGCCCAGAGACTGACCTGAGGGCCCTGCTGGCCCAGCTCAGTCGGGGGCTTCCACCTACCCCGCCCACCCTGCCCCAGTGGGAATCACCCCCCACATCACCACCGACGCTGTGCCAGGCCCCCTCGGGCAGGCACAGCACTGACCACCCCCTCCCTGTCCAGAGATGGTCCTGGACCAGAGCTGTGCTGAGACCCAGGACGGGGATCTGGACGGGCTGTGGACCACCATCTCCATCTTCATCACACTCTTCCTGCTCAGTGTGTGCTACAGCGCCACCGTCACCCTCTTCAAGGTGGGCCAGGCCCTCCCCACATCATCCCCTCATTGTCACCATGATGTCCCCACACTCTCCTCACCATGTCACCTCACTGTCTCCACTATGTTTCCACACTTTCCCACACTGTCCCCTTGTTGCTCCTTCACTGTCCCCTCAGTGTCCCTTCACTGTCCCCTTACTGTCCTCATACTGTACCCACACTGTCCCATTGCTGTCCTCTAACTGTCTCCACACTGTCCCATCACCATCCCCAGTGTCCCCTTGCTGTCCACTGTCTCATTACTGTCCTATCACTGTCTCCTCACTGTCCCTTCACTGTCCCTTCAATGTCCACTCATTGTCCCATTGCTGTGCCCACACTATCTCTTTGCTGTCCCCTCACTGTCCACTTGCTGTCACCTCAGTGTCCTATCATTATCAATCACTGTCCCCTCACTCTCCCCTCGCTGTCCCCTCGTGTACCCTCGCTGTCGCCATCCTGTTCCCCTCCTGTGCCCTTACTGTCCCTTCTCTGTCCCTTGATTGCCCAACTCTGTCCCATCTACCCTATCTTCTCAGTGTCCTGTCTGTCCCCTCACTATCCCCAGCATGTCCCCATGTCGTCCCCACATGGAACCCCCACTGTCAGACGGCCCAGAGTGCAGGGAGGTCAGACCCCAGCGGGAGGCTGGTGTTGGGGTCCAGGCCATGCTCACCCCCTCACCCGCCCGCTGCAGGTGAAGTGGATCTTCTCCTCGGTGGTGGAGCTGAAGCGGACCATTGTCCCCGACTACAGGAACATGATCGGGCAGGGGGCCTAGGGCCACTCTTCCTGGGCGGGCATCCTGGGCTGGTCCAGACTTTGGACAGGATCTGGTCCATCTGTTCTTGCTGCTCAGCCTGCCACCCAGACCTGCTCCTCTGCCTTCTGACCTCGCCAGACTTGGACCTCACTGCCCCCTTTGGCCTGCAGTGTGCCTTCTGACCTCACAGCCACCACAGGCTGTATCCTGACCCCTGACCCCCGTTGGAGAACCAAGTGGATGGCAGATGTAACCCTGAGCTGGGCTGATGGACACCCACCAGTCCCTCTGCAGCAGCCACCAAGAAACACCAGGGCCATGTGGACGCTGAGTCATCAGGGCCAAGCATCCCTCACCAGGACGTCCTCGGGGTCCGCATGTGCAGTCACCCTGGAGGAGGTAGAGGGCCGACATGCCCATGTTCATCTAGGCATGGACGGGTCTTCACGCAAACTGCATCCATGCCAGGGTCGAGGACGCAGGCTTCCAGAGAGGAGACGCATGGTTTCAGATCCTTGAGTAGGAACATCTGCTGCCAAGGCCACGAGGACACAGGGCCATCATCCACCAACAGGGAAGCTTCTAGACATGCCCCTAACCGTCACTCGGATCGTCTCCACCCAGGGAGACTGCTCAGAGGGGGGCCTGGGCTATGGCTGCTGCAGGAGCCAGGGTGTGTGGGGGCAGCACCACAAGTCAAGGGGTGATCATCCAGCCCAATGGGCCTCCCGGAGAGGGCCTGCTGACCAGGTCCCCAAGCAGACAGGATGTGGCCTTGGTGGACAGAGGTGGAGGGGTGCCAGAGGAGCAGGGCCCCAGGTACAGTCACCCCAACCTACTGCCGACAGGGCCTGAGTCACGGTCCACAGGAACTCTGGTAGCTCCATGGCCCAGGGGTGAGAGAGATCAACAAGGAGAGAATCCATGGCCTTGGGGAACTGGCCAGGGAGACCAAGCTTAGAACCCCGGCCTGGCCAGCCCCAGAACCGATTCCCCCCTCACGTCTCTGAGCGAATGGCAAGTTGCCATCTCTAGACGGTAAGGACAGGGATGTGCACAGGAAGGAGAGGCGGACACCCCACCAACTACAGGGGGACAACGTGCAGAGATATTGTTGAAAGGAGAGGACACGGTCGTAGCTTGGTTAGCTTTTTCCCTTCTTTTTAACTTTCTGAAACCCGTTATTCTTTACTGTTTCTTTTATTTTAAACAACAATAAAACGTCCTTAAAAATTCCACACCTCACTATGTTGATGAACCTGGTGAAATCCACAACCTAGCCTAGTCGCGCATCAGGGGCTCCCTCCACACCCTCACAGCTCCAGAACCTTACAGCTCATCCTCCCCTCCTGCCCTCAGCTCTCCTCCAGCCCCTGGGGTTCCATGAGTGAGGAAGGCGGCCCAGAAACGGGGCAATGACGAGGGGCGAGGTGGCTGACAGGGCCTGGTGGGGAGCAGGGCCAGCCTGGGGCCCAGGGGCAGGAGGAGCTTCCAGCACTGGCCGCTGCCAGAAGCAAGACCCCTGGGCTGGGTGTGTATGAGTCAGCACAGCTGCTGCAACGACCAGCCTGGGCGGCCTGAACAATAGACATTTGTTCTTTCACACGTCTGGAGGCTGCACTTTCCAGAGCAGGTGTCAGCAGAGTGGGGTTCTGCTGAGGCCTCTCTGCTGGCTGTGTAGATGGCCTCTTCTCGTGATGTCCTCACACAGTCCTCCCTCTGCGAGTGTCTGTGCCCTGATCCCTTTTCTTATAGCACACCAGTCACACTAGATTAGGGCCCAGCCTACTGACCTCATTTTAACTTATTACCTCTTGAAAGACCGTATCTCCAAATATGGCCACAATCTAAGTGCCTGGGGATCACCACTTCAAGAAGTGAATCCGTGGGACAAAATTTAACCCAAAACAGGGGAGTTAGGTACAGGAACACACACACACAATGCCCTGTCCCCGTGCACAATGCCAATACCCCGTGTCAGGGTGTTGACACCCTGAGTACCTCACGCTGCCCCTACCCCCAACCTTTGCCCATGTTGTTCCCTTCTCTTAGTGTTCCTTCCCTCTACACACTCAGCACATCCAACACATCCTTCTCTTAGCTCAGAGCTCCATGCCTCCTCCTCTGTCAGTCTCCCTAATGCACCCAGCAGAATGTACCCACCCTCCCCCGGCCTATGTCTGTGCTAGCCTCTCCCACCCAGTAGCCACCTGCGTCCATCTCCCCAGACGTGAAGTACATGATCCTGCAAACAGTGACGTAAGGACACTGTGATAAGTGCTGTGAGGGGAAAGTGTAGGGCTGTGAGGCCACACAACAGAAGGGGCTGAGGGAAGCTGTCCTGGGGGAGCGCCCTGACCCAGAGCCCTGGAGGAACCAGGTGGCCAGCCTCCCTCAGGTCTCCTCCTCAACACCTGGTCTCCTGACCCCGCCCCAGTCACAGAACTTCCTCAACCCAGGATAAGTGGAGCCATGGAGAGGAGACATTTAAGACATGTTAAAGGACAGGGTTTAGCATGGCGATCACGACTCTCATATAGACAGATGATGAACACATTTCAAAGACTTTATTAAACTCATCGATTAAGGGGTTATAACCAGTTCAAACTAGAATTGAAAGTCCCTCACTGATATAGTGGAATCAAGAATGCTAAAAAGAGTTTGTCAACAAATGCATATTTGAATGTACCTGGCTTTCTCCACGGGAGACAGGAAAGAATTAACCATCCTTTCAGAGAAGAGAATTCCCATGGCCTTCAGATCCTCTACAACTTACAGAGTTGTAAAAGAGCTCAAAGACAATGGAGAGTGCGGAGCCCACACTGAGTCGGGTAACCTGGAAGGGGGTATAAGACAGTGCCATGCTTCCCACTGAAGACAGAACAAGTCGTCTTTGGTCCATTTAGTGTCTTTCACAATATTTCCTAAACAAACAACTGACAACATGTCCAGAATATGCAGAGAACTCCTCCAAGTCGATTAGAAACATCACATAATATAGTAGAGAAATAGGCAAGAGAATTGAACAGACGCCTCACAAGAGATATCCAAAGAGCCATTAAAACTAGGAAAAGGATGCTGAACCACACTCATTACAATGGAAATGAAAATGGAAAGCCACAGGAGAGAACGTGAGACCGAGGACAAAGGAGTTCAAGTTTCCCTGGATTAGGATGAACCTGGGCCTGTACCCACAAGGTTAAGATGGGAAACAAAGTAACCAAAGTTTCTGAGCTTGCCTTGCAGAACAGCAGGAGGAGGACGGCTGATAAGGGAGGAACTTGCTGACAGCCCTCCCCCTGACTCAGCATCTCGCAGGAGCATTGAGAAGCTAAAATGACCGATTCTAAGCTCACACGTCATAATAAATATGAAAGACAGTCACCCCTGTGCAAAGGACTCTTGGAACTTCCCCCCCAAGGCCACATGCTCCCCTCCCCATCTTATTCTCACAATGCACTTTGGGAAAACGTTTAGAACTACATGTAGGCCAACTAGTCTGTAACCAGGAGAAAGAATAACTTGTTTCCAGAAAATTTGTGTCCTCTACCCAAACTGTTCCTTCTGTCCCAGATAAAGAAGTACCATAGGTTTTCTTAGATCCCTCGGGAATGTTGCATGCAGCAGGTCTGCTATGGAGAGGCATCAACAGTCTGCGCTCATCCATTACCTGACATTTCTGACCCCACCCCAGCCCTATTTCCCTTACATGAGTCATTTCCAAATCAGTTCCCTTTAAGATGGGTTTTTCTCAGGACCATACTCCACCATCTTCCCATATGCTAGCTTATCGCTTTTCAAAGTTCTTTCTCTAACACCACATTCTTGGCTTTCTATCTTTCGGCAAGCAGATCGAGCCCTTGCTTGGTTTCAAAGGTAGGTCCGATTCCCATAGTGGGAGAGCAGCTTGTACCAGATGAACACTTGCAGCAGCAATCATAAACTCCATAAAACTGCTCAAAACAACAATAGTTTGAACGTACTGGAGAATGGCCAAAGCAAGCAGACACTGGAGAAGATCAGCCCTCAAAATGTCCATCTGCAGGTGCCTCCCAGGCCACGCCACAGGTGCAAGGGGAACACAGCAGACACGGCACCACCCCGGCCCGAGGGCTCAGGTCCTGGGATTCAGGGCTGCATTTCAAGAGCATCTGGAAATGAAGGGGAGATGTCCATAAGAGGAGGGACATCAGAGAGGAACCCCAAAATCTGCATGGAATCTCTATTTAGTCCTGGGCTGATCCCTCAACTGTGCGTGTGTAGGGGAAACTCCAAAGGGGCCATCGAGAAACACTGACTGGGAGGTTGAAAGACTTCTGAAGATTTTAGCTGGGGTGAACCACGTGGCAGATGGACGTGCAGTCAAGCTAACTGCCTCTGACATTAAAACCAATACTTTTCTAGGAAGAGAACCTAACATGGAAGCAGGGAAACGTCCTCCTCCCAACAGGAGCAAGCCCTCCCCCGACTTAGAAGGAGGAGAGGAGGAGCAGGGCTTACACCTGCGAGGAAGGCCAGGTCCAGGCCTCTTGAGAGGAGCGGGCCGTCTGCTGAGGGGGGCAGCACGTTCCAGGCGGCCCTCAACCAGCATGGAGACAGCCAGGCGGTGTCTCAGCCTCCGCACCATCTCTTTCTGGACTCCTGCGGGCTGGCCGGTCCTTCTGACAAGCAGACCACCCACAGCCAGGGAGCCAGCAGGTCAGATTCTGCCCGATGGTGGGGTGCTGGGGCAGGTGCAGGACGTCGGCACAGCCAGGGGACCCGGGGCACCCAGAGCCAGAGGGATGAGTCCCAAGGATCCGCCTGGACAGAGGCTGAGGGCCAGGACTGTCAGAGCCAATTCCAGAGCAATCATCTGAGCAGACCACACCGGGCCTCCCCTTCTGGAAGACAACCCACTCCAGCTATCAGGGGTGGACACCAGGGACAGGTCACCCCTTATCTGAGCTCCCTCAGTGTTTCTAGAATGTTCTCTCACCCTAGGCATTGTGGAGTCAGAAGGAGACGATTCCTGTGTTGCTTCCAGGTGGACGTGAGGGTGAAGCGTGATGGACCCCCAGGCTACTACTCACCCCCACACCTCCAGGGATGACTGGTGAACATGGAAGGTACTGGAAGGCCTGGGCCAAGGCTC